GATGTTGAATAAGGGAAAGTTATACCTACACCCACTCAGGTCTAAATGAATAACTCATTTTATGTACGCTACATTCCCAGAAAGAAATAACAGGAGAAAGAAAGAGGGAAAAAGGGTAAGCGATTATTAATCCGTTTTTCACTGTTGCTATCAATTTTTTCTAACTAGAGAATTTTTACTGTTTGATATTAATTCGATGTAACTATTTCTTTATATTACAAATAATGTCACATGGCCTTCCCTCCTGCAGAAAACAAGAGTAAACTCAACAAATCGACAGCAAACGACAAATGCACAAAAGCCAAACGAAAGGGAATTACGTGTATGACGACAAAATAAAGAAATTCTAACAACTATAACTTGCGAAAACCTAGTATAACAGATGAAACCATGAAAATCCATACTTGATCGTTTATAACATGCATTAAATATTTCTGTAAAGACGCAAATAAATAAATAAATAGACCATATAACTGAAGAAGAACTAAACAATAGTGGCCTACACGAGCAGATCTTACTGAAGTACTAAACTATTAGTTCCTATAGTTCAATTTCACTAGAAAATATCCAATTTCAAACAAATTATTGAATTAATTTGCTTCCAATAATTATATACCCTTAAATCAAACAACAGAGCTGGCCTAATTCAGATCCCCCAAACAAGAAAAAATGAAAGCTTTTGTCATTCAATGAGAAGCCCGCGACCCCTGCAAATATAAAGGAATTCAGATTCACTAGCGACTAATCATACCACTTTTTTCAAAATCAACCCTAGTTAACCAAAACCTTTTTTCAAAATTAACCTTGATTAACAAAAAAGCTCATTTTGAGCATATATGTTTGTACCCAAACATGACCTTAGTAAAATCTTACATGCTTACCTTACACAAAGTCACCAAATATAAACATTCAGCTAACATCCTGAATGAATTAGCCTACATGTTCAACATTCTTGAATGAATTAGCCTACATGTTCAACACTCTTGAATGAGTTCAAATTCAAACATATAAAGTTCAAAGTGCAAAATAGAAGTTCAACCATCATGAATCAGCTAACATCCAAAATGCTTCAAAGCCAGATCTCTCCGTCATGCGCTAATTATGGGAGCATACTTCTCTTCCCAATGATCATTGAAGTCTTGTACCTATTCACCAAGACACATTTGATATATACGTATATATAAAAGTATATATCAAACCACTGATCTATATATAAATTACACATTTGTAATTTACCTATACTCATTCCTAACCAAATCCATTCAATAGACGGTGCTAACGAGCAAATAGGCGAGTAGAAGAGATTGAGTCATTATTTTTTTGTTACAGGCATATATACTTTGAAGCATGCGATTGTGATTAGATAATTAAATCTACTCCTCGTATCTCCAGAGGGCGAACAGCTAGACTTCGCCATCAGAATGGGGTTCAAAGTCTCGAACAATGAAGGGGAATATGAAGCGCTTATCAAAGGAATTCAGCTTGCAATAGGTGGTGGAGCGACTAAGATCATGGCACATGAGAAGCCTGCGACCCCTGCAAAGATCAAGGAGCTCAGATTCACCAACGATTAATCATACCACCTTTTTAAAAAAAAAATATATATATATATATATAATTGCAGGCAAACTTCAATAAATTTTATTCAGCCAACAATTAATAATAATATGAATTCATTTAATAAAAATATGTGTTCATTAATAAAAATATATCTATCATTTTATAAAAAATATATAACTTTCGGTTAAACAATTTATTTTGATAGGTCCCATTTTAGATGGTGTTCATTTCTAAAATGTATTTTTATGTCCTGAAATACAAAATGGTTTTGTTTTTATTTTGATACTATATATTTTTTGGTATTATAAAAATGTATATTTCACAATTAATTAAGAACTAGTACAATACTCATGTATTACACCGGTGTTGAATTAGAAAGCTTTTGTAAAAAATATTAAATTTTTTATTTTTTTAAAAACTAAAATAATCTAATTTTATATAAAACATTACTTTGGGTTTTAATTAAATTCTAATAATTATAAACCCGTACATTAAATGAAAATGTCAACCCGTGTAATGATTAATGAAGGAAAAAATTTATATAACAATTAATTCCAAATCACAAGGCTTAGGTTTAAAATGACGATTTTGTAATGAATTTTTGGATTAGGAAAACACCCAACCTAGAGAGTGTTTAAAAAATTTAGAACTCTTTTTTTTGCGTGATCAGATGATCCCTAAAGGATTATAATTTGTTCCCCATAGAATTTTATAAGAGGCCAGCAAAAAATATGATTGGATTTAGTGTAATAAAAAATAAAAAAAAATATTAATTTATATACAAGCCTAACTCCAAAACATGAGAGTTTGCCACGTAGGCTCAGCGCATTCTGAAAACCCTCTATATATGACCCTAAAGGATTACAATTTGTTCCCCCATAGAATTCTATAAGAGGCCAGCAAAAAATATGATTGGATTTAGTGTAATAAAAAATAAAAAATATATTAATTTATATCCAAACCTAACTCTAAAGCATGATATTTTGTCAAATAGGATTCCGAAGCATGAGAGTTTACCACGTAGGCTCGGCGCATTCTGAAATTATATATAGAGGGGATGACTACAGGTATCTCTATTTTCTATATAAAAGAAATATTTTTTTGGATATTATAAAGATATTTAAAAAATCAAATCACAAAGTCACGAGTCAAATAGGTTTAACGATAATGATTTGTTGTGATAAGAATTCTGACGATAGTAAAACCACGATTGTTGTATATAAAGAGATTGTTGTATAAAAAGAGGTGTTTATCCCTTTTTTAAATTATTTCTTTTCTCATTTATTAAGTTATGATTTTCATTTTAATCTATATTTTTAATTACTTTCTCTTCTATTATATCGCTTTTCGTGCAAATGCACGAGGTAAAACTAGTCAATCCTGGTTAACCAAATTTTTTTTTCAAAATTAACCCTAATTAATAAAAAAATTCATTTTGAGCAGATATGTTTGTACCAAACATGACCTTAGTAAAATCTTACATGCTTCCCTTGCACAAAGTCACCAGATATAAACATTCAAAGCCTACGTGTCCAACATTCTTGAATGAGTTCAAATTTAAACATATAAATATAATATAAACCCCATTAAAAGCCTACATGTTCAACATTCTTGAATGAGTTCAAATTCAAACATATAAAATTCAAAGTGCAAAGCAGAAGTCCAATCATCATGAAACTTTATTTTGCATCTTCAATAATACTTCAGCTAACATCCAAAATGCTTCAAGGCCAGATCTCTCCGTTATGCGCCAATTATGGCAGCATACTTCTCTTCCCAATGATCCTTGAAGTCTTGTACCTAATCATCAAGAATCATTTGATATATACGTATATATAAAATCACTGATACTAATAAAAAATTTGATAACCATACATTTTAATTCAACACACCTTTTGAAGTAGTGAATGTAAGGTTTGATTCAAACCATTTGACACATGTTCTTTGCTCTCACCCGAGGAAGGCCGCTAATGAAATTAATTGTAGAAGTTAGAATTAGTGAAATGTTATGTACACACAGAGGAAAGAACATATTTGGTTTTACTCTAAAGCATGCGCACATAACAAAGAACATATTTGGTTTTACTCTAAAGCATGCACACACCTTGAGAAATTGTTGCCAGAAAGAATCTCTTTCCCTGATTATGTCACGAGATGTCCCAAATATGAAAGTAGAAGCTTCACGCACCAACAGTCGCTTGTATGGAACGGATAGAGCTACAGGAATAATATTTGTAGCTTCTTCGCACACTTCCCTGGCCGGCAACTCCATCACCAACTATAACATATTATATAGTGGATTAGAAATGCAATGTAGCATGACCAAATCAATTAGATGTTTCTTTTCTTTTGTGCTTATAGTACGTAGCTTTTTTCTTTTTTTCTTTTTTTTTTCTTAACTAGTAATCGACACAGATGCAAATAAAATAGTATAAATTATATGTGTGTACATAATATTTGAAGCTATAAGTTATAAGTTACATAATGAGTATGTCACATTTTGAAATTTTAACAATTAGTAAAAAATGAACAATAAAAATATAAATTGCATAACATACTAAAAATCACTATATTTATTATAATTGTAATAAATAATATAATTTTTATATTTTTGAGAGAATGTGACCAATTAATTGATTGAAAATTATTATTATTATTATTATTATTAT